CGTTCATCACGACTGAAGCAAATTTTTGGTCTTCTCAGTGGTGATGAAACGTTACTAGCTTTTTAAATGGACTGAACGATACAAGCCAGTGTTTTCCCTATTGAGCTGGTAAAGCTAGATCTGCGGAGAGATCAGCTAACAGGTTTTGGTCATCTAGATGTTTGGAGGTGCACCCATACACCCGTAGTATTGTCTGTATATACATTTACCAATGATCTGAGAAAGATTGTTAATATAAATATATAGATAGATTCGTGGTGAGAGCCTTGGAAGACGCCTGCATTGATGCCAAAGGCATCGGAAGACTGGCTATTCGTGACTGTCTGAATAATGCACAATAGATAGAGTGCAGGAAGACTTGAGATTATGCCTTTTCTTTGGAAATGAGCATAAGTAATATATGCAGAAACAACCTTAATTCAAATTTTATTTACTAATCTTTTCTTCCTTCGTACCAAGCAAGAAAAGATTTATTTCTTAGATTCATTGTGTTTACATATACAAACCAATATTTCCAGGGAACTTTATTTTTCTAATTAATGGCATGGACTCTTCGAGCATATTTTTATAATCACAAAAAAAAAAAAATGGCGAACAGACGAGTCCTACTTATAATCTAGGACGGAGCGCACATTTGATTCAAATTGAAACAATGTTATAAAATTTGTTTAAAAAAAAGTTTCGATTATCAAATTTATTAAAAGTACAACAGGTCTGCCGGTTATTTATCTGGACTACATCACTGTTTTCTGAACGAATAGCATTTTGAAATTCAGGTTTATTTGTTTTTGAAGTGGCCACGGAGTCGGTCAACAAAAATGGCAGCATTTTCAGGAAGTAATATTCTAGAATAGCACAAATAATCCTAAGATCAGAAAAGTGATCAAAACTAACTAAGTGTCTTTCATTTCCGGTGTTCCTGATCAGTTGGTCAATTGATAAACTAATGGCGCCAAATCACTTCCGGTTTGTTGGTCCCAGGCAACATTTAATCTTTCTTTCTTTGATTTTTTTTCTTTCTTTACTTGATTTTTCTAGCTTTTTCTTTGATTTTTTTTCTTTTTCTTTCTTCCTTCATTGAATTTTCAATTCAGTCATTAGGGGGTGGGGGGCGAAGCACTCCGACGTGATGTAATGGATACAAAACCTGTTTCGCTAGATCAATTAACAATTTAATAGTGAGTTCGAACCTCACTGGATGCACCATACTTTTGACATTGTGCCGCATCAAAGCTACACTTAGAAAATCACCATTCTAGTGGGTGGTGTAATGGCCGGCGGCTCGGAATGAGAACTCAGAGAGACGAATTTGAATTTGAGTCAATTTCGTTACATTCACTTACTCGGAAATACCATTGGGGAAAAATATGAATCCATCTCTTCTCCGTCCCCAACTATTGGTTAAATAGTAGAACTTTTATTTGGAAAACACATTGTTAGCTCAAAATAAATTGTTAATGCAATATTCACCCGTAAAAGGAAAAATTATTTTTACTATTCAAATAATGTTTTTCAACTTTAAATAACATACAAAGGGTAGATAAGCCGTAAATAACAATTTCTTTCTATTCAATTTTATCTTTCACTTTTCTTTTTAGATTTTCACTTCTTTCTCTTTCAGTTCTTTATTTATTTATCTGTAATGGATATAACATCAAGAAACGGAAACAACAAAATAATATTGATCCTCATCATTTCATCATGTGCCACGTCCCTTCAGTACATAAACGATCATGGCTCTCCACAGCTTTCTATCTTATGTGGCTCTTTTTTCTCCCTTTGTCAAGACAGTTCCGCCATCCATTCTCCATAAGCTCGTCGAGTAAGTGCCTCGCTGCCTTCCCGTATCTATCTTACCCTCAATATGCCCCGTGAGAGTTAGGTTTTCAAAACAATCCTTGTCATTATGCGTCCAAGGAATTTCAACTGTCTTTTCCTGGTTTTCAGTTCTTTCTTTCCTCGTTGCTTACTAGATCCATCCATGGACCTTTCAGTATCCTTCTGCAGAAACACATCTCTGCTGCCTCTAGTTTATTAGGAAAATTGTCTAACATTCACTGCTATAAAAGGGGAGGGATACCACATAGCAATCCATCATCCTTTTCCTTGTTTAAACATTCGTATTATTCCATTTATTCTTATGGGAATCTTTTCTATTCATCAGTGACAATGGCCGCCGCAATGTTACTGTTTTGGATCTATGTAAAATAAATATTTTTGTCCAAATTTTAAAAGTGATTTATTTATTTATTTACGTGTTAATATACGGTCGAGCTAATACGTATAATTTTGAAAGAAAATGCATTTTCCGATGACTTTTTTTTTCTTGTGCTTTTTTCACTATCGAGAAAGTTTTAGTTTATAGTGGAAGTGAATGAAGTAGCTCTCAAGTGAAGATTAGATTAAAAATGTATGCATAATGCCAATCCCGACTTTGTGTCTGATATGATAACGTTGAATGTTCAGTTTGCAATGTAAATGTACTGCTAAACCTGAACCTGATTTCATGTTCAAAATTATGCAACTATCTATGTAATCTTAAAGTTAATTTGCCTGTTTAACGTCACATCACCTCCTTATGGGTCATTTAATGTCAAAATGAAACTTTTGTGGGGAGCTTGGAAGTAATAAAGATATGATATAATATTCTGCTTTCATAACTGAATATATATTACATACTCAGCTTTTGTGTCTATACAGGTTTATGAGGACATGATTACTAGATTTTAAGAAATGATTAAGTAAAAAAAATAAAGTAATAGATGAGGGTGAGAAATGAAGAAATAACACAGAACTAAGATTCAATATTGATGGTCACAATCTTAAAAACCATATGCAGATGACAGTGTTGATAGCCGACACAGAAAAGAAACTGCAATAAGTCCTACAGAATGTGGTGAAGGAAAACAAAAAGAAAAGACTAAATAACAATTACGAAAGGTCAGAATGTATGATTGTTATCAAAAGAAACGGCATAATATGCAAATTTACAAATTGGAGACTTTAAAATCAAACGAGTAAAACAATTTAAATATCTAGAAAGTGTTTTAACAGAGGACGGAAAGTGCGACACTGATATCCGGAGGTGATTTGGGTTAACGAAATGTAACTTCCAAAAGCTAAGCAAAGTATTAAGAAACAAAGAAAAGAGTATTGAACAGTTACGTAATATCAGCAGTGAATGCTGGACAATCTTCTCACAGATGAAGAGGAGACTTGAAGCAACAGAAATGTGGTACTACAGAAGTATGGTGAGAATACCATAAACTGAACATGTGAGCAATGTTTAAGGTTTTAGAGAAAATAGAAACAAAAAGCACGCTTATACTTAACATCAGGATGAAGGCACATAATAAGGAAAGAGGGCTTGGAAAATTTGATACTCACAGGACAAATTGGAGAAATTAGGGATAGAGGAAAACAACGTATAACCTCCTTGGTGAGCTTGAGTAAATGGAAGGCGGGACAGGGTTTAGGAGAGATAAGAAAAAGACTAAATTTATTAAGAGCTGCAATGGACAGGAAATTGTGTAGAGCCAAGATCGCGAATGTGCTAAAAGGATACGGTACATAGAAGAAGAAGAAGAAGAAGAAGAAGAAGAAGAAGAAGACATTTTAAGGTTCAATTTGAAAGTGTAGCTGACTGCTAGTGTTCCTAAGAAAAGGTATCTTGTGAAGAATTCGGTGAATCACGCATGAATGAATGAGAAATGAATGTGGGTACGGTGGGGTAATGGATAGGGCCTCGGAGTGAGGAATCGGAGAACCGAGTTTATTATATTCATTTACTGTCAACACTCTGGGGAATGGTATGACTCCATCTCTTCTCCTATCATTTATGTCTAAATAGTAGGACCTGAGTCCTATAGCTTTGTGTGACAACCAGTCTAGGAGAAGGAAACTCTGAATTCAAAGATAAAGAAGAAGAAAATAATGTAGGGTTCAATTTGAAAGAGTTCTGTTGTCAGCGGTAAAATCCATAGGGGTTTCTAAGGAAACGTACGTTAAGTAAAAGATTAGGTGAGAATTCGAGAGGAAACACCACTTCTGCTACGGTTGCAGTACCCCTACGATCTAATGGGTTATGGGTATCGCGATCATGATTGATGAAAAAAGAAATGAAGGAAAGCAAAATTATAAAGAAAATAGAAGCATAACTGAAGACCCCTACTGGCAGAAGTAGAGCAGAATAGTGTGACATGAGAATCATTCTATTTTATTATTATACTTCAGTCTATAGGTATATATTGGTCTTATGTAGTTCAGTATATAGTATTGGTCATGTTTATACTTGAATCTATATGAAATCATTAGTCATATTCATACTTGAATCCACAGGTAAACATTGGTCGCTTTTATACTTAAGTCTACAGTCAAATAATAATTTTTTTACACATGAGTCTATAGGCAAACATTGGTTGTTTTTATACTTAATTCTATAAGTAAACACTGGACATTTTTATAATTGAGTCTCTAAGAAAATATTTGTCTTTCATACTTGAGTCTGCAAACATCCATCTGGTAGGTGGCTGCTTTGGAGTGGGTTGCCCATTTGCAGGACATACACTCGGTGTAGTCTAGTCTATACCGACAGGTTAATAGAAAACTGAGTTAGCTAAATTAATGTTGACCCAATACAGTTTTATTAATGTTGATCCAATACAAGGCGTATGTGTCATTGATAGTAAAGTGTTACTGAATGGTTATGTAATGGGATGTAGGGAAGGAGAAAGTTTTGCATATTATTAGGATATGTAGGATAGATAATTGTTGACACTTGACTTGAAGTGGTTAAGATTATAGTTATCAGGAAAGCACCCTCACAGGAGTCCGTTCCACATTGCAGCATTTCTGGGGAAGAAGCTGTCTGAGTGTCTGATTACCAATAGAATATGAGAATAAGTCGACTCGGTGTACGCGACATGGTTGGTCCTAGCCGTGAAGGTCTGATGGAACCAAGGAATTTGAAAATATTGGTAGAGCAGCTAGAGGCTAGCAACGTTCCGTCTGTTGGAAAAGGATAGATAGATAGATAGATAGATAGATAGATAGATAGATAGATAGATAGATAGATAGATGAGATAGATATGAACAGATAGATAGATAGATAGATAGATAGATAGATAGATAGATATGAACAGGCTAAGATAGATAGATAGATAGATAGATAGATAGATAGATAGATAGATAGATAGATAGATAGATAGATACGAATAGACTGAGATAGATACGAATAGACCGAGATAGATAGATAGATAGATAGATAGATAGATGATATTTGATATGAAATAAACAGAAAATTACGAAGAAAAGAACAAATTTTGAAGGAAAATAAACAAAAGAAAGAAAGAAAAATGGCTTGATGGATGGTCAAGTGTCACTGACAGTAGAATTTCTCGCCTGATATCGAAATTAAACCGACTAAAACCTGATCAATATTTAACTGATACTGCAAACAATCCTAGACAGAGTAAAGCTGAAAAATAAATATATAAAAATGCTCATAAATGTCAGGAAAATAATAAATAAAAAAGTGAAAAATGATAATAATACAGTTAAAAAAGAATGAGAAAAAATCATAAAATCTTTAACGACGATAGAAAAGATTGTATAAAGATTTTTCAAAATATATCGTGAGAAATATGTCAAAGAGACAGAAAAGAGAAAGAAAGAATAAATTCAGGGACATTGAAAGTAAACACCTGGGAAGGATTAAGAAATAGAATGTTTGGAACAAGATTAAAAGATCAGTGTAATTTCAAAGGAGACGAAACAATGTCTCCCTCTCTCTCTCTTTTATATATATATATATATATATATATATATAACAAATATATATAATAACAAATATATATATATATTAAACAAAATAAACAAAAAATAACAAAGATTGTTTTGCCCAAAAACAAACTGTCAAACTGAGTAATTCGGGAAGATAATGCTTTTAAGGTAAGCGGCCTTATGAATTCGTATGCAAATGTAAACATATTAACAAATAACTACTTTGCCAAATATATATATATATATATATATATATATATATATATATATATATATATATATATATATATATAAATTTCTAAAAAAGTGATAGATATTTATTCATTAATCCGAGAGATTGTATTACTTAAACGTTATTTTTAGTGGATATTCATATTTGAGTAGACGTTCTGTTTATTTATTAAATAGTATATTTATTTTCGTCTAGCGGCCAGAATATTTTTATTAAAGAAAAATATCCGCTCACCAGCAGGATTCAAACCTGTGTGCCTCTTGGTAGGGGAAACACTCGTTAGATCGTGCTTTAGATCTCTCGATCATGAAGTGCATCGATGATCAAACCAAGTTGAATAGTGCCTTATAAATGTAAACATCGCTTTAGTACGATGAAGTTATAAAGGTCGAAATGCGTCAAACTTTTTTCACTTTGTCATAGTTTTTTTTTTCTTTTTACAACTATGTTCACTCTGTGCAAGGCCCAAGGGTTACTCGAGTTATAGTGTTACAGAGTAAGTGGCAAAGTTTATGGGGATATGTGGGAAGATAACATTTGTAACTAGGTTAAAATTGTAGTGATTGGGGAAGCTTTCTCTTGGGAGTTAGTGCCACAAAGCAGCAGTTCGTGAGAAGAAGCCACTCGGGTATAACTCGGGTATCTCACCAATGGAATACGAAAGGAATAAGGGTGGTCCACTTCAATGTGCGTAACAACGTGGGTTTTAACCGTGAAGGTTAGAATTGATGAAACTAAGGAAATGTCGTTCTTTTGAACACTTTCCATGGAAATAGCGACGTTTCGACTGTGGGAAAGGACTTGTAGGGTGGAAAATAATTCATCACCCACAAGGATGCGGAGACGTTTTTGGACTCAATCGAAACTGGACTGGGCAGTTCCTGTCAATATGTGACAGAAGTACTCCATTTTCGACTTGATCTGGCTCTTGATCTGGCTCTTGATCTGGCTCTTGTAAAGGCATAGGATATTAGGAGGAGTCGGGTACTTACTGGATCGGTACAGTGAACGGACCATTTTCCAGCATTTTAAACGATGAATCGTATATACAAGTTCCACTTGAGGTTCAGGTTAAATTGAAGTCCCAAGAGGGGCTCAATACACGAGGCCACTCTGAGGGAACACCTGTTCATTGTGAAAGGTGAAAGTTCTGGGTCTTCTCGGTGATGATGGAATCTAACTAGTTTGGTTTTTGAGGCTTTAAATGTGACCAGCCAGGTTTTTCCCCACTGAGCTGTTAAAGCTCGCTCAAAGGAGAGATCAACTGCCAATCTCTGGTCATCTAGGTTCACTAATATGCTATTGTATCATCAGCATAGATATTCATAAATGGTCGGAGTATACTCTTAGGTAGATAATTTATGCAAAGTAAAAAGAGTGTTGGACCGAGAAATGAGCCTCGGTAGACGCCTACGTTGATCATTTGAGCCTCTGGGGTCTGGCCATTAACAACTGCCTACAGAGTTAGGAAGGACTTGATAATTGAGAAGACTCTTCCAGTAACTCTTTATGCCACACCTTGTCGAAGGCCTTTGAAATATCTAATGCGATCGCGCTTGAGATGTCTAGTGTCTAGTGCCTCACTGATTCTGTGAGTAATGGGAGTTAGGCCGAGCCGATAAAAAACCGTATTGTTTGTCGCTCAAGAGGTTGTCCCTAATGAGGTGATTAACAACTTTTTTGTTGATTGTAACTTCAAAAAAACTTAATAGCACTGAGGAAGCCGATGGGTCTTTACTGTGACTCATTCTTGAAAACAAATCATACCCTTGACACCTTCCACAGACTTGGGATGTGGCTATCCTTCAAGCAGGAGTTAAATAATTTCGCTAGGACCGAGAATAACACTAGATTAAAATGCTTAAAAACTATCACTGGGATTTCATCTGGATCAGTAGCTTTCTTAGGGTCAAGATTTTTGATAAATTTTGTGACTTCACGGGCTGTGATAAAAATATTAGTGAGATTGTGCTCAGTGAGACGGGGAAAGTCGAGAAGCAGCGTTGAGTTAGAGGCAAAGATCGTGGCAAGAGCTTTGCTTTATCTGACGATGATAAGATTATTTTGGAATCATTTATAATATATATATATATAACTTATAATTAATTATTTTTATGCAATAATATAATAAAATAATAAAACCAACTATGCTTTTAAACTTCGTTCCTGTTCGCAAATCTGCCATTTGCCCATTTGGTTAAATTTTAGAAAATGTGACCAAGGCTTGTAACATTTCAACACTTACCGATATATATATATATATATATATATATATATATGTGTGTGTGTGCGTGTGTGTGTACGTGTGTGTGTGCGCGCGTTCAACCGATAAATTTGTTTCATTTTTATCGATTTTCAAAAACGTTGTTTAAATTAATGCTTGCTGCCAAATATTCCGTATATGTGTGTGTGTGTGTAAAAGGTGTGGCAAATGTAACGTCCTTTTTATTTATTTACTTTTATTGAACAAAAATAAATTACAGTACTTTAAGCAAATTTATAAGTATTGTCACATCAAAACAACATGACTTGTTACGCATATGTTCAAAATACACCCCTTCATATTCAATACAACGCTGAACGCTATCAGCAGCACTTCTACAAATCATTTGACACATTTCTTCATTAATTTCAGAAAATGTATCAGAAATCGCTCGTGTTTTTATTCAGAAATCGTTTTTTGTTTGAGCTTGTAAACAAGATTTTTCAGTACACCCCCACAAGATGGGTGGTGTCAGGATGATCGTGATGGCCACTCAATTGCTTCATGTCAGCTCCCCCAAAAAGGACTTTACTTTTACCGCACCCTCTGTGTGTGTGTGTGTGTGTGTGTGTGTGTGTGCACTTGTTGTGTTTTAATAGTCAGCAGACTTGAATCAAAGTCATAACGGAAATAATTTGTTACAAAATCGAATATTCAGTGTTAATGATTTATTCAGTATTAATGATTTATTGCAAAACCTCTAAATGGAGAATATCTTGGTTACATGCAGAAGGTTCCTAAATACGCCAACCTAAATGGAATCTATGAGGAGAAAAGTTATCTGAGTTTTGTAGGACTCAAAGGAAATTCATTGCGCTTGAAGTTCTTTCAGATAAGACGCATTCTTCAGACTCTTGTTTTTCTTAATCCATACAATGCTTCTCATGTTGTTTATGGTTCCAACAAGCTGAAGATATCGAACAATTCCTCCGAGAACTCAGCGGAACAAAGCGAAATCTTTCTTTTATGATATAATACACAATTTAATTATGAGATGATGTAAGATCATAGAAAGGGGGAAAAAACAGTAAATAAAAGAATTTGCTCAAAATATTGGGAAACCACGTCAATTTAAACATTCTGTTATATATTTTATATTGGTCATGTTTGTTTTAATTTCGCTTCCTTTTATATGTAATTACAACACATAAAAGACAAATTGTGCATTACTGATTGAATTCCGGTAGCAACAGAAACGGCTATACTGTTGCTAAGATTCGAATGCTAACGAAAGAAAAATATATCGATACTCTGACACGAGGAACCATGTAGTAAATTGGTTTATATATATATATATATATATATATATATATATATATATATATATATATATATTTCTTATTACTATAAACGCCTACTGGCCTAGTTCATTGAAAGCATTTTCGATGGTCTAGGTCGGCAGACGTTAATTTGTCTGTATATAAAAAAGCGGGAATTTCTACTCAAACACGCGTATTCCCTTAAATAACGTTTATATGAGTAATGAGTAATAACGTATACATATATATATATATATATATATATATATATATATATATATATATATATATATGTGTGTGTGTGTGTGTGTGTGTGTGTTGTGTGTGTTCATGTTTCATTGAATAATATAGACATATTATGTATATTTATTTTATACTGATCCTTTCCAGCTCTCTAATCAGTTTCTTGGAGCCGTAGTTTTTTCCTACCCAAGTATTTTCGTATTCCTCCAAGATCATCCTCAGGGGTAAATTACAAAGATAAACTTGTAACTGTGATGGTTACAATAAGTTTCGAATCTTCTTTGACTTCTCAGTTTTCCCAACCTTCACCATTGATTAAGTCGCGCCAATAATGATGGGTAATTCACTTACTTTCATCTACCGCATTTCTTATTCTCATTTCACAAAATCTAGATATTTACCAGCTTTTAGATGCCTGATCCATTTACTCTGCCTGCAGCAACAAAATCTCACTATCTTTCATTTTCTTCTTCATTGCAGTAACTATTTCAGTCGTGTGACCTGGATTGAGTATTTCATTCGAATTTCAAATATCCAGCGTACTTTGTTTTATTCCATATTAAAGATTCTTGTTTATGTATTGGTTTTCACGGTTAAATTCCAATCGTTTGCACAATTACTAGAGGACTCTCATTCCTACACAGTCATGTATATATTGTACTCCTTCTGGAAAACCGACTACATTCGTTTATATGATTTACTGATCTATTTATATCTTTACTTTAGCCACTATTTTACTGTGGCCTATCCCTCTAGGCCATAATATAATTGATTCTTATGGAATTGTTCTGGGTTCCCATTAATAAAGATTCTGTTTCTCTTCAAATTTCCTCCTTAAAATTATAGCCATGCCATCTTAAGTACAACCCTTTTTATTTGTACATGCAGTGCTTGTTTTTCTTTCCCATTTT